ATCCCTCCTTGGCAGAGGTGGGGTTGTAACCAGAAGCAGTGAGGGAACTCCTGCCTGGACAGAGGGACAAGGAGGTGAGCGCAGGAGGGTGTGTTGGCATTGCTCCTGCGTCCTGCGCTTGGTGGATTGTCAAACCGTGTCGATGAAACGGTGTTCTTGGGGCTGTAACTGCACTGAACCAGAATTGCTTATTTCTCCAGGCCCTTCTAGCTTTCTGAAGGCGTAACATGTTGGATCTACCTGGTACTCCTAGAAAAAACTTTGGCCATGAAATAACAGGTTTAAAGCATGGCCGCTTTCCTCAGCTCTTTTTGGTCGCCTGGATACCTACTGCACCTGGAGGTCAGTCGTTCCATGTTAAAATGTCTACACTGACCCTCCATTAGGTTGTGGTTCCTCTCGATGGGGTGAGCAGAGTAAAGACAGTTGCTGCTGGAAGGAGGAGCTCCTATCTCCCTTCCTCCTGCCTTATCTGCGCGGGACCCTTTTTTCGGCTGATTCAACATGCCAGCCTGACAGAAGGCTGGTGAAATTGCTCGTAGGAGGTCCTGACAAGGACCGGGGCCCTTGCGAAGGGAGGGAGACGAGACCTCTCCTGACTAGCTCAACTGCTTGTGGAAATGCAGCCTGACTCGGTCAAGTTTTATTTAGAATAAAATACACGCCATTGCAGGAAACTTGTAATTCAAGAGCTATCTTTTTTGTTTTGTTTGAAGCTTGGTGAAGTTTTGGTTTTGCTTTCAGCCTGCTGCTGGCTGATAAACCCAACTTTTGTGCTGAGAGGCATGCTAGATTAATTTCTCTCTGGAGCGTGGGAAAAAGCTACTGTGGTTGTTTTTGTGTTTATGGTTTGATTTGTTTTGCCATTCTTCATCCTTATGATAAAACTGTGCAAGTTGCTCTTTCTGATGGGTGACATCTGCTCGGTTTGTACCCAGAGAGTTTATGTAGCTCAGGTGAAGGAAGAAACTGCTGTGCCTTTTGGTTCGTGTGCTACAAGTAGGGAATTCGAGGGCCAAACCTGGATCAGAAGTTATGCAGAGAAATTCCCAGTGGACAAGTTGAAATGTTGCTGTAGCTCCTCACACAAATACCAAGCTGCTAAATACAAAGGGATGTTTCAATCCACAGGCAACTTACCCTCTGAAATTAATGTCCTGAAGAAGACAGAAGCTCAGCTGTCCCAACCAGTCATACAGGTTTTCAGTATTTTTGGTTTGGTGTTACTGGTGTTGTAAGAGGGGGAAAAAAAAGCTCGTAGACTTGCCCATTTCTTTTTTTAAAATCCTAGGTTTTTAATGATGTCATATAATGGTTATGAAATTCAGTTATATTTATAAAGCATAATTATTTAATTGGATAAGTGGCATTGGAATGCACCAGGACAGTTTTATTTGGATCATGAAACCTTTTTGTGTATGTTTTTTGTATTTTTAGAAGCATGAAAACCTTCAATGTTTGTCCTGCAATTTTGATGGAACGTGTTGTAGTAAGCATTTTCTGCAGCGGTTTGCAGTCCTTACTGTCAGGCATGCAAAGCTGCTTTTCCAGCTCCTAACTAAGAAGTAAAATCCTCCCTTGTAAAGGAGACGGACCAGAGCAAATATTTTCTGCACTGTGAATTTCCATTTACTAAAAGATGGAGAACTGTCATTTTAGTTTTGTAGTTATCCTCTTAACATGAGCAAAACTGATCTTTGTGCTGCTATTGTGGCTAAAAGCTGTGAGTACAAGTTGGAAAGAGGGAACTATTCACAAAGAGGAAGACTCAAGAGTATGGGGGCAAAATCATCCTCTTCCCGTCATCTGATTCTTTTTAGCAGTAGGAGGAGGACAGAAGAGAAACCTTGATTGTTCTAGCATTGAAAGGCACTTCAAAATGACTTTCTTGTCACCGAAAATGAAGTTTCTGAATGGGATCTGCGGTCTTATAGGAAACCTTAGGTGGTAAATGGAGTCATTAGACCTTTTCTCTGGGGCTTTGTCCCTAGCTGTAATGGTGGCCTTCTTCTGCCTGATGACCTTAGTCCTGGTGATGAGTAGAAAAGCTGGCAACTTTTTCAAACTCTCCTTATCCAAACAAGCACGGGGAATACCCCTCCTCCTCGTCACTGGCGAAGCATGGGAGGTTTCCTTATACCCCTCAAGAATGGCTCTTTTACTGTGTGAAGTCTTGCTGGGACTGTATCTGTCCTCTTGTGAAAGAAACTCAGAATTGACCTTGCCTTTGTTCCCTGTAGTTATCTTTGCTTTGGTGTTGATTTTATTGCTCTTCTTGTCCTGTGCAGCATGGATCTTCCCTTGCAGCTCTCCTCTTGGCTCCCATGTTTGCCACTTTACCTCTCTTTTAGGGGACAGGAACTTTAGTAATAACATGAAAACTAATTAAAAGAGATAATTCATATGCCTTACTGTCACAGGACTACCTTGGTGCTCTTTTTTGTGATACAACTTTTAATTTATAAAAGGAACTTTATTACATGTATGTAATTATTATTATACAATATTCATAATACCGCAGGAATTTATACAAGGGAAGCATCTTTCTAATTATAGCTCAAAACTAAGTGTTTCAGAGTTTTGGCTAATACAAACCATCACCCATTTTGGTCTTTATTAGCTATTTGTTTTCTTAGAGCATGCTGTAAATTATAAGGTGTCTGCATCTGAGAACTCGGCTTTGGTTAGAGGCACTGGGATGGTACTGCGCTGGGTCCCTTCACTGAGACTTTCCAGTACAAAGGAGTACGTGATAAATCCTCTTCCTGTAGGTCCTGTCCACAAAAAGAAATTGCTGAGGCATGAATGCTGTGAGGATGGAATTGGAAATGGGGATTGCGGATGAGTAAAAATGGTTAACAGGTTTTTTTCATGACGAATTATCAAGGATTATGGGCAGTTGTTCTTTGAAGTATTTTAACTTTGTGCTGAGTAGCTCAATGGTAACACATTCATTTGGTTATTTACAAATATTGCAGGAGCAAGAGAAAAGCTAACTTTTTAAGTGAGTGGTGACTCCCTTTGTCTTTGCAGGTAGAACAAAAAGTCACATCACATATTCTCATATTCTGTAGCTGAAGAAATTCTGAAGCTGGGCTTTTTCAGTCACCTTTAATATTGCCTTCTTACAGTAGCGGTGCACGGGGTTTGAAACTGTAAGCTTTGGATGAGTTGAGCAAGGAGAGAGTAGTCGCATCTTAGCAGGGCTTGTCGGCTGGGTATCTTTTGTGAAAATCCAGTTTCTGGGTACTGCATCAGTGAAGAAAGATGTAAGTCTTGAACTGTTATTATGAGTACATGAGTTATTTTCATTCAAAGTCCTTGCTGGGTTGGGCAAGCCTTCTTTTCCTGCATTTCTAGCTGAGAATCCAAAAATGGTTCTGCCTGGACACGGAGCCGTTCTTGTGCCTGCCATCTGGTGGCCAGATACCACAGCTAACCGGACTGGTTGCAAGAACCCAGCGGAGGCTCTGTCTTAAAGGATACTCGAGAAAAAAGTGGACCCTTTTCTCACTGAGCCATGTCTTGGATGGAGATTGGTTTTTGCATGGTTTCCCTGGAGGAGAAATAAATTTTATAAGTTCTGTTACCATCTTTCTTCTCTTTCCTAGGATATGATGGAGCTCCTGGAGGAAGATCTCACCTGTCCCATTTGCTGTAGCCTGTTTGACGATCCTCGTGTCCTGCCCTGTTCACACAATTTCTGCAGAAAGTGTCTGGAAGGAATTCTTGAGGGAAATGTGCGGAATGTGCTTTGGAGGCCGTCCCCTTTCAAATGCCCCACGTGCAGGAAGGAAACGCCCGTTACTGGAGTCAACAGCTTGCAAGTCAACTATTCCCTGAAAGGTATCGTGGAGAAGTATAACAAAATCAAAGTGACTCCAAAAATGCCTGTGTGCAAAGTGCACAGTGGGCAACCCCTTAACATTTTTTGCCGGACAGACATGCAGCTCATCTGTGGGGTTTGTGCCACCCGTGGTGACCATACAAAGCACGTGTTCTGTTCCATTGAAGAAGCTTATTCCCAGGAGAAGCGGGCTTTTGAAACCCTGTTTCAGGGCTTTGAAACTTGGCGTTGTGGAGATGCCCTCTCGCGGCTGGATACCTTAGAAACCAGTAAGAGGAAAGCTCTGCAGATGCTGACCAAAGATTCTGACAAAGTGAAGGAGTTCTTTGAGAAGCTGCAGCACACGCTGGAGCAGAAACGAAATGAGATTCTCTCTGACTTTGAGACCATGAAGCTTGCAGTGATGCAGGCCTACGACCCGGAAATCAATAAACTGAACACAATTCTGCAAGAGCAACGGATGGCTTTTAACATCGCAGAGGCCTTCAAAGATGTGTCTGAACCCATTATATTTCTGCAACAGATGCAGGAGTTCAGGGAAAAAATCAAGGTGCTCAAAGAAACCCCTTTACCTTGTTCCAGTGTGGACATCAGCCCTACAATGAAGAGCTTTGATACCAGCCAGTGGAATGGAATAAAACTAGTTGACGTGGACAAACTTTCCTTGCCTCAGGAAAACAACACTCTTAAATTCAAGATTCCCTCAGTCTTTTCGCGCAGATTTATAGTGACCTCTCTTATTTGCTTGCTTATTCTCGCTGTCACCAGAATGTCCTTTGTGGAGTCAGTCGTTGACAATCTCCAGTGCTGGAAATCTCAATTCTTTACAATTAGCTTGTCCTATTTGGCAGATACAGTGGAGATAGCAGATCATGCAGTCTTTTACTGGGAACAGATGACAGATGGAGCTTCACTTCTAAGAGAAAAGTGTAAAAACTATACGTTGGTTGTACTGGATAATGTTGCACAGTTTGTGTGCAAATATAAACTGTTGTGAAGTCCCTGCTGAAATATAAGAGCTAAGAGAGATCTGGTGAAGAACACATAGAACTTCTTAAAATTAATTAATTGGGTTTTTAGACTTGCAGTGAAAACATTCAAAGATTCAAAATGTTTCCAAAACATTCATACTGTTCACGTAGTTTGAGCACTGATAAACTAGAAGATGAAATGGAGCTTTGAAAAACACATTGTTTCTGGATTCTTCTTTCAGTGGTGATTATGGGCATATTATTCACTGTAAATCATTTTTCTTACCAAAATATAGGGCCAAACTGTGTACTTAGTTTAATGTTAATGTAATTGTAGAATAAGATAAAAAGTGTCACTTCCTAAAAGGGCATAGGTAAAAAAAAAAAATTTTTTTCTAACTGGGATGTGGTTTGGGAAGAGGAAGAACAGTTGCGATTGAGAAGAGCGCTGTACTGAGAGGCTTGTTGAGGACTGCCCTTCCACTGCAAAATACAGAGTGCGTCATTCACGTTCTGGAACCACTTTCTACCTGAGGACGTTCCTTCTCACTGAAATAGATAGATGTATTTTTTTGTATAACCAAATATTGTAATTATCCTGTGCATTCAGATTACTGTAGATATTGGTTATTGTTTACATGTTCTATACAAAAATACATCTTCAGGGCAAGCATAAATTCTAGGGGTAAAGAGAAATCGGTTGAGGTTGATAAGAACAAGCTGCAAGATGGTACATACTTTGCAGTTTACTTTTCCAACGTCAAATTGTTGGGAGTAAAACTGAGCTGTCTTGTTAGACCCATGTTTCTCTGAAGCCACACTTTCTGAAAAAGTGGCCTTAATGTAGACAGTTTAGTGCGGTGAAAGGCACGCGCAGGTCAGCCACAGGAAGGCAGCTTGCACGCTTAGCCCTGCAAAGGTGGTGGCAAGTAGAGCGGTTTCTCTCCTGTCCCTCTCTGTCTCTTCAGATCATAATTCCAAAAGCCAGGAAAAATGATGGGATGATTCCTTGCAACAGAGTGTGTAACGTGACAGGAGTGTGGATGTTGTTGGTGTTTGGAAGTGCTTTAGCATTGGAACATACATAGGCTCTTCTACTGTTACTGTATTTTCGTGTACCTTGTTTCAGGAATTAATAGCATTTTCTGAGTGTATTGACTTGGCCGTAGGACGACATTGATTTAAAGTGAACTGTAAGCTTGAGTTCTCTGAAGTGCCCTTCTTTAAGAGCGTACGATACTGAAATATATTGCTTGAAGCACACCTAACCTCTTTTTGCAGTGGTCCTATGAACAGCAATATGTAGAATGAAAACATTTAGCTGACATTTCCGGGAAAGAAACATAATGTGTGCCATACTTTGGGGATATTCGTTGGCCTCTCTCAAGGTTTAGTAAGTGGTGACAGTCAATTCACTGTCTTCCAGTAGTCCTTGCAAGCTGTTCATTTCAAAAATAAAACATTAAATTCCAAGAATCAAAGTTTCCAAGCAACCAAACCCTGCAAACAAAACCATTGTACATGATATTTACATCTTTGTTGCCTGGGAATCCTGTCACTGCTCCACACCTCACTCCAAACACTTGCTAAAAGCACTGAATGGTTCTTGCAGCTGCAGATGCCTTGCAGTTGAGGAAAGATCAAGTCACAAACACGTAGACCGGAGAGTTACAATTCTTGAGTGGCTGAGATAGCGATGAGTAATCGAGAGGTGGTGGTTCTGAGTGTGGGAGGAGTGAGATTTGTAACCCGGGCTTCTACCTTGCAGCAGTTCCCCGAGTCCAGGCTAGCGCGGATGTTGAACGATGATGGCTGGGAATTTAAACTGGTGAACGGAGAGTTTTTTGTGGACAGAGATGGAACTTTGTTTAGTTACATCATGGACTTCTTGAGGACTCTCCAGGTCTCCTTACCTGCTGATTTCTCAGACTATCAGAGGCTGCAGAGAGAAGCAGAATTCTATGGGCTCTACCCTCTGGCCGACCTCCTGAGCCAGGAACACTTGCTGAAGCCAAGGCTGGAGATCTTGGAAGTGCGTTTTTCTCTCCAAGAGACGCAGGCCTTTTTCCGGATCTTTGGTTCCTGCAGTACCACTGTTGAGACACTAGCTGAACAGATCACTGTGTTTACAGGGCAGCAGTCAGGATGGAGCTGGAACAGCCCTTTTCCTCCTCAGAAACCACTCGTTCCACTTCCTTTGGAAAGACCTTCTCATCACGACATGGTTTTTCAGTGTGGTACTGACTACTCTGCTGGTGACCAGCTTGTGGCCAGGTACTCTCCCTAATGTGACTTCTCATTACGGAAGTGTCTTCATGACTTCTAGTTCATGAAGTACACGCTATGTGCTAGCAAAGCTCGTTTTAAAGAAACTATCGGACAGCTGTCTGAGAGAAAAGAAGTATGTTTCCTTCTTTCTGCTAGTTTAATGTTATTTTTTTCTAGTTCTGAAATACCCAGTTTCATTTCTGTTGCACTGATTTGCCTGTTCTTCAACTTTCTAAAATACTGTTCTTGGTGCTTGTTTTTGAGTTCTGCTGGGTCTTTCTCTCTCTGCCCTTTCCTCCTCACTCGCTCTCCCAGGCTTTAGAATTTCATGGCATCAGTGACCTTCTAAAAGACTTCAAAAACACAGAGTAAAATGAAGCAAAGGAAGCAAAATAAATAAGGAGTGAACTACTGGAGAAGCCTAAAATCTCCACCAGCTCATGGTCCAAAACACTTTCGTACGGAAAAGAGGAAAAAAAAAGAATGCCTAAACAGGGTTGAAAACACCAGTAGAACTAAGATTGCAATTCAGGGACTGGAAAGCTTTTGTAGAGCCTTTTAGTGGGGGGAGGGAGAAGGGGTAGATTATTAACTATGTGCTACACAGTGGGGGTTTTTTAATTCAGGGCCGGGTTCTGTTTTTATTAAGATAACTGTATTATCAGTGATCTTTGTGATAGCAGTATCATATTCTAATGACAACTTACATTTTTTAAACAAGCTTTTGCTGGATGTCTCTATTGTATGGAGACAAGTTCTTACTGTATAAGAAAATGTAACCTAATTTGTCCTCTGTGGCTGTTAGAACATCTGGAATTTTATGGAAATTTCTTTGAAATATTTCCAAAAGGGTTATTCTCTCTGAATATATGAACCAACACAGCAGTCTTTTGATTCTTTAAAAAGAAAAAATGAATCAAGTTTATCTTTCTTCTAGCTTTCTTTAGCTAAGCGAGTAGAGGAAAAACTACTTTGCATTTGCGAAGCAACAAATATTTATGTGCCAAACCTTAACTTTACAATCTATTACTAATTTTAATGGACTAACAATTGGTTGAGTGGGTTATGGCAACTTAAATAGTGGGGAAAATATTCCTGATTCTTTCCTTTATCTCTTCAGACTTGGTAAAAATTTTCTTCTGCAGCTCAATAGAAAAGCTTTATCTTGAGTAATGAAACAAGTCGAGTTTGATCATGTTGCCTGCTGAATTTCTGTCGACTTAGTCTTTGTGGTGACATGGACTCTTTTACCTTTTTTGTGCTTTCCATGAATGTTTGGTGTACCTTCCTGTGAACTGTGGAACAGTTTCACCCCTGTCAGCTTATGTATTTTGTAATAGTATTTTTACCTGACTTCTGTTCCTCGAAATGTCTGGATAGATTCTTAAACTGGACTTTATATCAAGTAAAATCGTTTGAGGCAATGCTAAAATGATTTTCATACTTGTTACCGCAAGACCTGCTGTACAAGGTAACTTTGCAATAAATGTCACTTTGTAGAGAGAGATCCCGTGCAATGAAAAGTGATGCTATTGGGGTGAATGTGACTTCGCTGTCCTTTCCATCATTTACTTTTACCTGAGAAACGGTTGCAGCATTATATAGAGCGTGCCGTTCACCTCTCCTCCATTGAATGAAATGAGACGGAGGTTATCACAACTATTCCTTAAAGTAAGTTTTGGCGCGGAGGTGAAAGAGAAGTGCTTCCTCCCCGACATGTAACGGGATGAACTGAGAATTGCTGTTCTTGTAATGAG